ATGGTGCACACAATTTCCCTTTGAAGCTAAATTTAACGGAACAATTTTTTTTTTAGGTTAAACAGACACATTTTTCTGCTTTTGGATTCTTGATATATACCTCTCTCATCATTGGCCATCAGAAAAAAAACAGAACTGTCATTGACAATAGGTTTCAAACAAAAAGAAACCAATTTCCTCGAATGCCAATTAAAAGTTTTATTTTTTTTTCGCGCGCGCACAAAAATAAAATCCAAATGAATAGAGCCAAACAAAAACGAATTTGTGTAGTTATAATGAACTAAAAACTAAAAACTGATATCATTGTCAACTGAATGTTTTTTCTCTGTTGTTTGGTAAAAAAAATTCAATTAAAACAAAACAAAAATATCCAAAATCAGATAGAAGTCCGGCAGATTCACAAAAATGTGTTTTTTGAAAAAATTACAATAATTTTACAAAACACAGCAGCAGCGGCATCATTATTTTTTGGAAAATTTTCCAAAAAAATTCAATACCTGTGTTTCATTGTTTAACTATAGTTTTTTCAAAATGAAAAAAACTGACAAAACAAAAAATGAATTTTCATTTGAAATAAAAAGTTTGACATCAGTTTGAAAAACACACATATCATATGTAGATTAATTAGAAATTTTTTTTTCTGTTTTGCCGCAACCAAATTATTTAATAATAAAAATTTTTCTCGGGTTGATGAAGCAGCAGCAGTAGCAGATGTGTTATTTATGTCAACTCGATCGATGGAATACCCCCTTTTCACACAAACACATACACACACACGTCCATCATCCTAGTTTTATGAAAAGAATCAGGAAAAAAAACAGAATCCGGAATCACAATGAGACTACATAGTGAAAAACATTCATTGGAAGCATCCATTTTGCTTGTGTATGTTCTGTTTAAGGAATCAAAAAAAGAAAAATCGATTGACCTGGTCGAAAATGAAAGAAATTCTTTCACATTCGATGATGATGATGATGATGGGTTAATGACAGACATTTTGAATCAAACCGAAAAAACGGAATCGATTCATCATAATCATCATTGTGAAATGATTGAATGATTTTTTCCAACAGAATCTTTTTTTGGAAAAATATTTAAAGGCCGAAAAAAAACCATCTAACATCATCATCATTATCAATGTTGACCCTATGCGTGTTAAATTCAAGTATCCATCATAATCATCATCATTACATATCATTATCTATCGATAAAAGTCAAGTATCCTTTTTATATTTGATCCAAGAAAAAAAATCTTCCAGAAACAAAAAGCCGATATAATCACATCACATTGATGATGCTGATGACCATATGACTTTTGTGAATAAACGAAAGAAATCAAATCAAACGAAAATAAAATATCAACGATCATCTTTCAAGCGTTATGTTGGATAGTTTTTTTTTTGGGATTTTTTTGGACTTACAATCATTTAAATCTATGTGTGTTTGTGTGTAATGTCCATCCAAAATGGTCTCTTAACACTTAACGATTTTTTCGTTTTCTCACACATCATCGATGATGATCATGATGATGATTGTCCTCGCTCCATCTAACACACACACTTTCATATAAGCAAACTAGAAAGAAAGATAGTTTTTTTGATCCTGGAACAAATTTTTGAACCAAATGTAGAATTGAGAGTCGAAAAGAAATCGATTGGATAATTTTTCGTTGAAATAAAAGCGAGAATTCTCTACTCAAAAAGCTCCTATATGACCGATCATGATCATCATCAGAATTTTTTGATGACCGAATCCGGTTATCATCATCGAGGTGTCATTTCATTTTTCCAGTCCTGAACAACAACTTTTAACCCTTTTTGAAAAATAAGTTAAAGTTTTTCTTTTTTGCAATAATTTCGGTTGAATGATTCAACAACATTCAGTGAAGAAACAAAAATTTTTCAGGAAATGATTTGAACTGAAGGAAAGAACGAAAGAAAGGAAATAAAATTATAATAATTATATATCATCATAGGAAATAAGATTGATGAGATTTACCCTTTTTTCTTTTTGTTATTAGATTTTTCTGAGAAAACAACAACAGCAACGAAGAAGAATTTTCTCTCTTTCCAATAATAATAATAATGTAAGTTTTTACCAAAAACTTCAATGATTCTTCAGCAATTCTTTTCACTGTGTGTGTGTGAAATTCTTTTCAAAATTTAAATTAAATTAATTTTAAATTAAACTAGAATTTCATCCAAAAAAGAGAAGAAAATTCTTTTTGCAAAAGAATGTCTAGAATTTTCATTTGAATTTCCCTTTTTTGTTGACCAAAAAAAAAGACAAAAAAAAACAGAATTTTTTATTGAAAACAACAATGACTATTTCCACATTGATGGCTAATTTTGTTGTTGATGACAATTATATTTTATTTCAATTCAAACAACAACAACGAAAAAAAATTAGTTAATTTTTTATGAATCGTGATTCTATGATTCTATAATGATGATGTTGATGATGATGTAATAATGGTAATCTATCAAAAGAAGAATTCTGCCTGGATAATTTCCTTTTCCCCTTTCTTCATATTCACATCACCAACAAAATCATCATCATTGCTTACTTGCTTGCCTTGTTTGTGTTTGAATCCATTCATTCAAGCATCAATCCATCCATCCATCCAAATATAAATGAAACAAAACAAAACAAAATATTCAAAACATTTTTCAAGTGTATGGTACAATTCGTATTCATTGATGCATGCAATAGGCATTCATTTTTTTATTCGTTTTGTTTTGTTTTCTGGTTTTTCTGTTGGATTTCTATTTGTACATCTCATCATTTGTGTTGAAGATTTTTTTTTTTATAAGCCAAATTAGCCAATGCTGACCCTGTTTTCTGAATGATGATCCAAAACAGAAAAAATGGATGAATGATTTAAATCTAGTGACGCCAGTATAATTCATTCATTCATTCATGATGGTTTTTTCTTTTGGTTGGTCGAGCGGTTTTTTCTTCTGGTTTTGGTTGGCGATTCTGTATACAGAAAATGACGTATGGTAAATATGGTTCAATAAAAAAAATTCAAAAGCAGAAAAAAATGAAAAAAAAGTTACAATCCCGGCATTCCAACTGAATGAATCTTGACCAGCAAAAACCAAAAAAGAAAAAAAAAGTTCTGCATATTTGAATATCCAAAACGGACGAACGAACGAACGAGAATGACAAAATGATGAAAAACAAAAACAATGTTTGATCATTCAAGTGAACATACCATACATATCTCTCTTGCTCTCTCGTACTGATGGTCCAATTTAGATCCGAATAATCATCATCATTATTATTGCAATGGATGATGATCAATTCCAACAGAAAAAAACTGTGATCGAAATATATATGTTTTTATGATCATTTCATTTCATTGATGATGATGATTGCTCAATTTTTCTGTTTTATTTCCCATCCTGAACATTATTATCATCATCGATTGAATGAATATTGGATATGCATGTATGTAACACATCTCATTTGTTGTTAATTGCAAAGGCAAAACATTTTTTCTTTTAACTTTTTTCTATATTCTTTCTCTTGAGATTTGTATATGATGATGTACAATTTACATATGTACAGTAATATATTTCAAAATTGTAGTATCAAAAATCTTGTAAATAAAAATGATTTGGTCACCAACAACAAAAAAATGGAGAAATTTTGTAAATTGATCGGATTTTTCATGTTTTTTTTTGAAAAATTCAGAGAAACGAAAATTCTGACTTTTTTCCTCTTAGTTACAAGCAAAAAACACAAAAAACCAAACGGTAATCTTGAGATAAAAAGAATATATCAAAAAATCAAGTTAAAATAGTCGTACAAGTTTTAAAAAAATAGCCCATTACTGTTACATAATTATTTTGTCCATTTTGAATTTCATTTCATTTTTTTATTTGGCTAAGAGCCAGCAAAAATCTAATTAATAATCAAAAAAAAAAAAGTAAAAGTTGAATGAAAAATTTTAAAACTTTTTATATGATAATTCCATAAGGAGCAATTTTATATCGTTTGTTATCCAAGTTTATTTTTCAAGTCAAAGTCAGTTCATTTACCAACAAAAATTGTTTGTTTGTTTGTTATGTAAATGATCATCATGTTCATCATCAAACGATGATGATTCTTGTGCAGAAAAATAAAATAAAATTGCTGAATGCGATATCCATATGGACATTTGCATATTGAATCGATCAAATTCCAGGGTCAAAGATCCTGGAATTTTGGATGACAACAAACAAACAACAACAACAACAACAAAACTTTGAAAAATCAGGTATCCGAAGATTGAAAATTCTGTATCAATTCAATCGGAAAAAAAATACAGAATATTTTGTATTGAATGGTAAACAATTCATTTACATTTTATCATCTGATAACGTTCAACATTCAATATTGATGATTATTCAACCAATCAACAACAATCCAAATGGATTCAATTCAACAATATTGATTTTAGATGATGGATATATTCAAATTAAGTAAACATCAATTTGCATGATTATATGATGATGATGATGATGATGGATTTTAAGTGAAATTTTTTTTTGTTGTCAACCCCATTATCATCATCATTGGGAGAATCGAAGATCAATAATCAAATAAGTGAAATTTTTTTTATTATAAAAATATTTATTCAAATTCATTTTTTTTGTTGATGTGCATCCATTCACCATTTAGTAGTTGTAATAATAATGATAAACTTTTCTATTTTTTTGCCCAAACAAACAAACAATTCAAAAGAAAGAAGAAAGGGAAAAAGAAAAAACAGAATTTAGAAAGGTGAAAAAAGAAATTTGTAATGTATAAACATGATTCTGGTCGATGTGTGTGTGTGTGTTGGGTTGTTTTTTTCAAAAATGAAATATATTACCTGGGCAGCATTGTTTACGGAATTTTTGTTTCTGGAAATATTTTTTTTGTTTTGTTTTGTTTTAAAAATAAATTTTAACAGTTAAAAAAAAAGACATTTGTTTTCCTATTTTATATTTTCTAATTACATTATTATTATTTTTTGTATTTTATGGTTGACGAAATTTAAAACCAATCAATTGATGATTATCGATTAGATAATCAGTATAATTGGCTATCATTTGATCGGCTGAAATTGTTGTTATTGATGATGTTGATGATGATGATGATTCATCAATACTTCTTCTTGGCCTACGACGACGATATGAACGGCTTAAACGAAAATGACGATAACAGGAAAGACGATCAGCATTTTTCCAAAAACGATACATATATTCACTATTTTTTGCACTTGGACATGCATGCATTGCTAATGATGTTTCCATTGTACAAACATCGGTACCACAAAAAAATTTAAAACGAAAACTATTATTTCTACGTATTTTTCCATAATCAGCAACAATACCGGTTAGAAATAGATCATCAATATCAAGTATTGGACCTGGATATGTAATAATTGTTTTCAAAAATTTTTTCAATTTATCCATTGATAATAGATAAGAAAAACCGGCAAGAAATTCATATGAATCTTTTGGATAAAGATGTTCAGGCATATGCCATTTATGACCATTTTCACGATTAGCAGGTGTTGTCATTACTAATCCAGTAAGACCGGATGGTATTTTACGTTGTCGTACTAATTGATATAACATTGGCATATTTAATACAACATCATCATCGGTTTTAACCATATATGGGCTATTACTACAATGACGATATGACCATTTTAATAATGATATTGCTTTTAATGTAAGATTATAATAATCTTCGATAAAATTAAATTGTAAAATATCATGATTTTTATCTGCTTCTGCTTTTAATGATCTTTCAATTGAAAGATCTCTTGGTACACCGATAACAAACAATATACGCATTTTATATTTATATGCTTCACGTGCCCATGTACGACGTATTACTTGACGACGATTAAAATATTTTCCACTAGTTGATGCAGCAGTATGTACAAATATTGGTGTTTCATTTGGATAACAATCACGTTGTTGTATGACTACCTGATTGGTAAGTGATAATTCTGCTGCTGAATGTTCATAATTACGACAATCGATTAATGATAATTTGAATGATAATGTTATTAAGATCAATAATAATAATGATAATGATGATAACGATGATGATGATAATAGAAAATTTTTCATCGATAAATTATTATTCGCCATTTTTTTCAGTTAGTTATTTTTTTGATTCAATTCAAATTCAATTACGACGATTTACACACACTGTTAGCATACACACAACGTGAATTACAAGAAAATTTTCCGATTCAAGAATTAAAACAAAAAACCAAAAAAAAAAAGGTTGAAATGAACGATGAAGAGAAGAAAGAGTTAAACACCACCAGGCACTTGATCATACATAACCACAAAAAAAAAAGATTCACAACAACAACAGCGACAAGCAATGATTGATTTCAAATTTTAATTTTAAAAGACAATGATTGATCGAATCCGAAACGAAACGAAACGAAATGAAATGAAATGAAATGTTTTTTTAAAATCATCAATGTTTTTTGGTCACTATTTATATGAATTGTCGATGACGTTAGTTAGTGTATCGATTATTTTTGTTGTTGTTGTTGTTTTTTGTTTTGTTGTTTTTGCTTTCGGATCGATCACCCCCAAACAAAACAAAACAAAAAGAAAAAAAATGATGGATTCTTTGAAGATAATGTTGAATTGTGAATATAAAAGAAAAGAAAAACAACTGAATAACAACAACGAAGTAGAAGCAGAAAAACAATAGAAAATAAAATTAACATCAACGACAACAACAGTAAATGAATGAATAAAATGGACACAATGATCATGATCATCAAATGGCTCTTCTTTGTGAAAACATTGTTCACTTTTCGTTTCTTTTCATAATAGGATTCATTTCTTTGGAAGATTTTTTTTCGCCCCCTTTTTTTTTGTTTCTTGTTTAAACTAATTTTTTTCTTCACTGTTCAACAGGATGGATGAAAATTCATTGGTAGGTACTACTACCTGTGAGAAAACGAAAAAGAATGAATGTCAGGTAAATGAATGCCTGCCCTTTATTCATCATCATCATCAATGAAAATGAAGAGGAAAAAACCATATTGCACATCTTGCAAATGTACTTAAAAAAAGAGGGGAAACAACAACAACAACAGAAGAAAAGAATGAATTTTTTTTCAAAAGACAAAATAAACATCATCATCAATGATGATGATGATTGAATTGAATTGAATTGAATGAATCAATATAATTCATTAATCACCTTGGATTGGATAAATATTTTTTTTGTTTTTTGAAAAAACGTTTTTTCTTTTTATTCATTTGACATTCATTTTATATAAGATATTATTATTATTATTTTGGCCTATTGTTTTCTTTAAAAAAAATAATTTTTAGTGATGTGATCAATAAAGATGCACGTAAAAATGTACACAAGGCACACATCATTAATAAATCACCTTATGTGACTATAACTGTATGATTTTTTTTTTACTTATTTTTGGATCCAGGAAAACGTTAATTTGTTTCAATTTTTCTCTGTGCTCTGTGCTCTAAAACAAAACAAATATAATGAGAAGAAGAAGAAAGAAGAAATCAAATTCATGTCATGAAATGTGGCCAATTAACCAAAATAAACATCATCATCAATGATGATGGTGATGAAAGGATGCGGCAGGATCGTAGGATATCCAATGATTTTCTGGCACGATTTTTTGTTGTTGTTGTTGTTAAACATTACTAATAATAATAATCTCATCATCAAATTTGAAACAAAAACAAACAAAAACCTTAAGACAATACGGTAATTTAATTGTTTTGTTTTGTCCAAATAAAATCCAAATCAAAGTCAAAAAAAAAAATTGGCAAAGTCAAATGAAATGATTGTCTCATAATCATCCATCACATGTGTAGGTGGGTTAATCATTTTTGTTTTGTCTTTTCTGTTGTTGTTGTTGTCCAGCTGAATATTCTTCTTCCTTCCTCCGTAAATAATCATCATTCAATTGATTTGATCTGATTGATGACATTGACCATCATCATATGTCATCATCATACATATCATTTCTTTCTGAATATTTAGAAAAAAGAAATGATATTAACGATGATGATTTCTATAATAATCGACTATAATTATGTTTTTATGGTGAAGAAGAAGAAAAATTTTGTCCCCAAAGCAACAAAATTATGACATAATCGAGTTTAAACAATTTAATTTGAATTTAAACTGATAAATTCTTTGATAAAATTTTGTTTATCAAAAAATGAAAAAATTAAGGCAAAAAAAGAAACTTTGGTTGACACTGACAAACACCGTAAGAATGAAATGAAATGGCCAAGGATTTTACTTGTCAAAAAAAAAAATTTTACTTGTCAAAATTTTGAAAAAAAACTATACAATTATTATTGGATTACAGGATTTATATTTGGATCGATAATTATAAACATAATCATCATTATTATTCGAAATAACATTGATCGAAATACAATACCAAAAAACCGGGGTCAAAATCGATTAATCATCAAAAAAAAAACTAATTACTATTTTTTCAACTAATCATTATTATCGAAAAACATTTAATTCTGGATCATCATCATCAGACTAGATAATTGGAATCAATAATAATGGTAATCCAATAACACCTTGTTCTCCATCTACCTCATGATTATCATCATCACCAACAACAATAATCATCGATTTAAAAACCGCCAAAAAAAACGACAACGAAAATCAAAAATCAAAAAAATTATTTGAAACAAGAAATCAGGGTCATTTTACATATATAACAGACCAATAATTAAATTTTTTCCAACAACATCATCATTGTCATCATTAACATTTAAACATAATTGGTTGAATGATGATGGTTGAAATACAATTCCATTTGACAAGTGATGATTTCACCTTTACTCTTTTTTTGTTTTTGTTTAGATTTTCTTTTCATAGTCATAATCATTAAACTCAATCATCATCATCTTCAGGTGAGATTTACACGTGATCGTGTACATCCAAGGAAAAAACGAAGAAGAAAATTTCGGTTTCATCATCTTTTTTTTTGGAACGACAATAGCAAAATTTTAGACAAAACAAGCACTTGTTGTGTTGTTTTAGAAGCAAAAAAAAGACATCTTTTCTTATGATTGCTTAATTCAATTTGTCAAAACTTTCTCTCTGTCTCTATGTAAAAAAAGTATCAATTTTAACATTTGATTTTAAAAAAATGATACAGAAATTTTATCAGAAAAAAAAATTCATCTGGATCTAATCTTTTCAAGCAAATTTCTCATTTTTTTTTGTTCTTTATCAAATCCTTATAGTTTGCTGCTCCTGTCGTTATTTTACTTTGTCCAAAAAATTCATTATCATCACACTTGAAAGAAGAAAAGCAAAAAAATATTCACAAACACGATTTGTCCATGAAATCTAGTGATGAATGGATTATCATCATTAATGGTAGTAGTGGATTATGGACGAAAAAAAATCCAAGACTTTCAAAAAAAAAATTAAAACATCTTTCCATCCATCCTATTGAATTTGTTTGGACAAATCCAAAAACAAAACTGAATTCGGAAACTGAATCGATACATTCAAAGACATTCAATTCAGGAAAATTTGTTTTTAGCATTTTTCCCAACTGAATACAATTACACTTCACAATGATTTGAATAAAACTTACAAATTGATTGATTTGTAAATTTATTTTTTTTTCATTTGAATAATAAGTATCATCATCGAAGAAAAAAGGTAGTCAATGAATAAATCAATAGCATATATGCAGCATATATAAATGACACTTGACAGTTACTTGTCAAATTTGAAAAAAAGAATGTGTGTGTGAGAGAGAGAGAGAGTGAAAAGAATCAAGATTTTTTTCATTCTTTCATTGACGACTGAAAGGATTGTATTTGTTTTCTTTTACGACCTGTTAAATGAATGGAGGGTGAAACAAAAAGCCGCTCAAACCTTCCGTTTATTCCGCTGATGATAATGATGTCTCAATTGACGGTGTTAAAAAAAGTGAGATTTTTTTTTCGTTTGGCAAACAATCAAATCAGGAAGAAGAAGAAGATTCTGATGCTATCCGATTGGATGGATCGATCAATCAATCGATTGATTGATTGATTGATTGATTGATTTGATATAACAATTCAATCCAAAATGATTATGATGATGATGATGATGAAAGATCACGACAATTTTTAAACAGCCGTTTGATGATAATGATGATGAACAAACAAGCGAAAAAATCAACAAGAAAAAGAAACAAATTACAATGGGTTAAATTAAATAAACATTTTTTGATGATGATGATAATGATCAATGTCCTTGTCGAAAATCATTTGTTTTTTCTTTTTTTTTTTTGTTGGATGTTTTCAAATAGGAAATACACCATCACCATAAAACACTACAACTATGGATTAGAAAAAATATATAGGAAGCAGCAAGAAAAAAAACGAAGGTCAAGGTTATTTCGTGCACTTTTTTTTTTGTTCGTAAAACAAACAAAACAACAACAACAACAAAGTAAATAAAGAAGAAAAAAATTTCTTAACATCTTCAACGGATTGATTGATGGATCGATTGACAACTTGAAACATTTTTTCTGTCTACTTTTTAAACAAAAAGAATTTTTTTTCCTGGAAAAAAATTATGGCGATTTTTTGCTTGGCTTTCAAGTATCCCTGTTTTTCAAACCAAGCAAATCTACATCGATGATCGCATCGATGATGATGATGATTGAAAAGCCGAAAAAAAGAGAGAAAATTTTAAAATTTTAATTTGCATAAACAGTAAGTAAGTAAGTAAAATGAAATTAATTTAAAATCAAATTAACAAATCAAAGGGAAAAAAAGAAGAAGAAGAAATAGCATCGATAATGTTGTTGTTTATTTTTTATTGAAAAAAAATAATTTCGATGTACGATCACGAATACCACCAAATACTGGATTACGGAATTGTGTATTTACATCTTTATATAATGGATTTTGTTGCTAAAATGTTTGTTTTTCAGGAAACAAAATGTAGATTAGATATTTGTCATATATTGTTGATCAGAAAACTTACCAATGCAAAATCAGCTTTAGCTATTTCATTTTTAAATCTTTCATATTCACGATAATCAAGATAATTTGTAATACATTTCATAATAATAATACCAATTATACCGGCAATTATAACTGTTGCAAATGAACCGATTGCAACCTGTGTTGCATTTATACGTATTGGACATGATTCGGTAATATTTTTCAATATAAAATTTAATGGTAATTGATTGTTGTTGTTACTGTTGGTCGATATACGAACATCTTCTAAATCAATCAAATTCATACTTTGATCATTTTCAATTGGTTTCATTAAACGATAATCAAATGCAATAACACAACCATTTATAATCTGTGAACATTGTGCCTGATACCATGTTAATTCATGATTTGTTTCAAACCAATTTGGTAATGATGGATCATCATTATTATTATTTTGTTGTTGTTGTTGTTGTTGTTGATCAATATCCTGTTGTAATTGATATGACCATTGATTAGATACGCATATTTTTCTATCACATTCTTGTTTGATTGTTTGATTTTTATCAATATCAAAATATGTTTGACAAAATTTTTCCTGATAATCCGGTACACATTGACGAAGTAATTGACAATATTTTTGATGATTACATTGTGCACAATGTTGACATAATCTTCCCATTGATGTTGGTAATGAACATTTACATCGGCCACAATGACAATCACCACGACCATTACATAGTTCACCGGTTTTAATATTCGTTATACAGGTATTATTCGATATTGGACAATCACAAAATGATCCTTGATAACCATCATCACAATTACAACGTGATTGTTGACATTGTCCATGACCACCACATTTTAAACCATTTTTATAACATGCTGATTGATCTTCTTGACAAAATTGTCCGGCAAACATTCCATCACATTGACAACGGCCACAAATACAATGGCCATGTCCATTACAAGGTCGAGAATTACCTAAAGGTATGTAAGGAATTCTTTTTTGAAAAATACTGACTCATTTTTATTTTTATTTACTTACTATCTGGTCGACAATGTGCATCAGGTTTTCTTGGATCAATCGGTTTATCTGGATCACATTCACATTGTTTTCCAGAACGTATACCATTACATTTGGTACAAATACCACAGGAAAATGTTCCATTATTTGAACATTTTGGTGAATCTAATTCAGCATCATATAATTCACATTCACATTGACATGTTGAATTTAGATAAATTTCAATTGTTTCATCTTTATTTAATAAACCAATTTTGATAATATTTTCATTATCATTTGGTTTACAACTTGTTAAACGTATTTTTATATCAAATTCAATTGTTGCTTTACCAAAAAATCTACATGTCGATGTATGACGTAACGGATCATTTGATACACCACAATTAGTCCATATTTCAACATCAACATTATCCGGTTTTTCTTCAATATTCAATTCAATTTGATTGGATATATTTCGATATACTTCATCAATCAATTCAGCTATTGTATCATCATTTACTTTAAGACTAGCAACACGTGAATTAACACCAATTATATTTGAAAGTACTTGATATTTTTGTGCAACCAAATCGCTTACAGTAAATACTAGATTGAATTTTTTTTGCTGTGCAATTTCCGATATATGATGCATTGATGGGTAATCCTTTTCAAATTATGAAATTGTTTTTCAGTTCAATAAACTTGATTTTAAAAAAAAACGAATTCATCACTTACATAGATAGTAGAACCAATATAACGACTATTGGAAAGATGACAACGACCATCATTCGGTAATAGTATGCCTCCTAACTGGAAATAAGATAACAAAAGAAGATTTTTGTTCAAAAATCATATTTTGATCACTCGATTACCTTTCCATCACCGGCATAATGAAATTCTTCATCAGTAGCAACAACAATAATTTTATCCGAATGTTCACGCCAACCAATTTCTATCAATCATTTTAAAAATCAAACAAAACTTTACATCAAAAGTGATTGCTTTTTCGTCAATACAAACCTTCTGGACAGACCATAACTTGCATTAATGCATCTAATGTACCTTCAGGTGAATCAAGATTACCTGAAATTTTTGCCGATTGTACTTTATATTCAAATTCACTTGTATTTGAATTTAATGGCATATGATTATAAAAACTATATGTATTAACCATTGGTTGTTTGTTACAGTTAATTTTTGAACTAAATAGCAAAAAACAAAAACGAAAAAAATCATTGAAATCTTCATTGAAAACTTAATTTAAAATCATTTACTTAAATTTATAATTTGAAAATGGTATTGTTTCTTTATCCACATATGAACCAAAACCAATACGAAAATCTTTAGTTGTTGATTGAATTTTTGTTGCTAATTTTCTACCAACCCTTGATACACTTGTTTTATGTTTAAGCATTGTACATGATATATCCATTAAATAATAAAGATCCATTGGATAATCTTCGGCTTGTTTGAATTCCATTTTTATTGTAACGACTGTACCGATTCTTGAATTGATTCTATTTTTTTTTTTGGAATAAATGAATTTTTCATTAGTTATTTAACAATGAATGATTGTCAATTGTTCATTTTTCACCGAATTTTTTGTGGCCGTAATTGAATAGTTTGTTCCATTGAATCGGAAAATGGTCGATTTTCCAATACATCAACTGTAGGTATTTCTTGTGGATTTTCTTGATATTTTTTTGGACATTTTTCCGGATCAAACCATGAACTACAACGACCAACATTATTCGTATTTGATTCAAAATTATCCGGTATATTTCCACTACACCATCGACATTGATATGAAATAGATATACATTCACTACATGTTCTTGCTATTGAACAATTATTATTATTGCCTTTAATCAGGAAAAAAATCATATGCTTAGAATCTTGATGATGAAAACTCATTTTTTCACTTACTTTGAGCTTGTACATTGACCATCCATATGTTTAACAATGATATTAGAATTGAATAATAGATAATCATCATGAATATTATCATCAGGATTCATGCGAAAAACAAAATAATGAATAAATTAAACGTTCGAGCTTGAATTGTTGAATAACAAAACAACATTTGAATATTTTGAAGCATTCGATTGATTGATTGTGCTTATACATTGATCAAACATCCTGTATTCACATCCGTTTTGTTTTTTGTTTTTTTTATATAGTTATTATTATTATTTGAAAATTTATTATTGTTTTGGGTTAACGAATTCGATAACATCTCATACACACACACACAGGATATTCATTACATCATATGCACGAATCAAAAGCAAAGAAATGTGTGGTAGAATGTATTTGTTCGCTTAAAAATTGTTCCCTTAAATTTGGCTTCAAAGGAAATCCAATGAAAGTTTATTTGTGTTTTACATAAAAGGTTGAAAGAATTTTTTTTTTTGAAAAAAATAAGAATTCTGGATTTAGTTGCCATCTAGTGGCAGGATTTATTAAACAAAAACAAAAATTTCAAAAAACAATGTTCAAAAAAATAAAAAAAAATTCAAAGATTAGTTTCAAATAACGGTAATTTTGAAATGCCAAAATCAGCTCTGTATGAAAATAAATAAAAAGAAAATTAAACTTTCAATGTATTTTTCACCACAAAAAAAAACAAAACAAACCTAAAAACAATATTGGTACCATTATTATTACAAACAAATGAAAATTTACATTCATTTAGATTATCATTAGGATTACGATATGTTGTTGTTGTTGTTGTTGCTGCTGCTGTTGGTACATAGGTTTGCGCTGTAGTTTTAGCAGATCGCGATCGCGATTGTTGTTGTTGTTGTTTAGGAGAATCATCATCATCATCAATATAATTCATATTGATCGGTGATTTACGGATTTGTGTTTGAGATTTTGATTTAGCTATTTGTTTTTTCATTGACAAAAAAAACATTTAAAAGTTTCAAACAACAAAAACAAACAAAACTTACATTCTTCCGTTGGCTTACGAATTGTACTTGATTTTGTTGTTATATTCATTTCTTTACCAGAATTTTCAATCAATGTTTCATTATTCATTATCCAAGTATTATTCATATTATTAGATGAATATTCTGGTGTTTGACAATATGATTCTGGTGGTTCAATTATATATTGTTGTCGATCTGATTCTGGTGTATGTTGATGATTACGCTGATTATGATGATGTATTTGTGTTGATGAATCTAATCGTTCACTATGATAACCTTCACTTATAACTGGACTTTTTGTTAATGATCTTATATCTAATGAACTAAATGCTTTATTTGATAAATAATCATTATCTGTTTTACCTAAAATCATATTTTCATTATTATTATTATCTGTCATCATTAGATCGAATGCTGATTGTGTACGTGGAAATATATCATTCATTTTTTCATTTGATACGTTTTTCTTTTTCTGTTGTCGTCGTCTTTCTTGTCGTTCATCATCCGGAATATTATCATTATTAGTAGTAGTACGATCATCATTAGTCATCATCATCAATGATGATGGTAATGTTGTTGGTGGAAAACATTCATTTTCAATTTTAATCATATCAATCATAGGTAACATATTCTTTTGTTTACAATTACGTATTTCAGTTGTACGATGAACTTTACCATCATGATCAATATCAGTTTGTATGATTATTTCACGTTTTTCTTTTTGATTATTTTGTGTTTGACGTTCAATAATTATTTTCGATGTTGATTGCATTCGTTTTTGGCTTGTTGTTGTTGTTGCTGTTGTTGTTCCCATTGTTGATGGTGTTTCGGAAATTCTTACATTATTATTATCACGTTTCAGATTTTTCGTTTGTGTACCAGAATTTTTCAATAAATTTGTTGTATCTTCAATTCTAGTTGGTAATAATTGTTGTGCTGATCTACTTCTAGTTATAATTTTATTACGAATCATTGCTCGACGACTAATTTCATTGAAAATATCTTTTTCAAAATTATCAAAATATGTATCATCTTCATTATCATCATCATCATCATCTTCAACAACATCATCATCATCATCACTATCTGAATACATTTCGACAATAGGTTCTGGTGATCGATATGATTGTCGTGGTTGTGGTTGTTGTTGTTGTTGTGATGATAATGGTGATAATGGATCAAGATCAATCAAAATATTATCTGTTTTATTATCCGAACAAACATGAAATGTATTTATAGTTTTAGCTATCATTGGTTTTTCAATAATTGGTAAATTTGGTTTAAAATTATCATTTTCCCCATGATTCAATGCAGAAGATGATTTCGGTTGATGATGATGATGATGAAATATTTGTTGTTTCAAATCAAAATGATTATTATTATCAGTAGTAACACCTTTTTCTTCAAATGATTTTCCATCCGAATCGGTTTGTATTTGAACCGATCGACTTATTGTTGTTGTTAATCTTCGTATTGGATCTTTTAATTGATTATTAGTTCTTCGTTGTTGTTGTTGTTGTTGTTGTTGACTTGTGGTTGATTTGTTGTTAATCGATGAATCGATTGGATAACCAACATGTGTTTCCCAATATTTAAGTAATTTATTCATAAATCTTTCGCGCGAGAAAAAAAAATCATAATTATTCAAAAAATGGAAAATTCTGATTGAACAACAAACTTACTCCATATCGATATCGGTATTTTGTGATTTATCATTTTGTTGATCATTTTTAATTTTTCTAATTCGATTTCGATCAATCGGTGGTACATAGGTGGTGGTTGTTCCACCAGTTTGATGAATTGGAATTTTCGATGATGATGTTTTCGTTGATGTTGATGTTGATGTTGAATCAAATTGTTTTTCATTATTGGCAGTAGTATTACGTAATTGAAAAATATCATTTTCAAGACGTCGAATACGATCGATTGTTGAACGTGACATATCATTGATTTCTTCCAATTTTGAAAGCCATTCATTAAATCCTTGTTGTTGTTTCATTTTGTTTACGGTTGTTTTATTTAGATCTTGATTTGGTCCAACTGTCGATTGAAATGTTGGTTTAAATTCGGTAAATATTCTAGTCTGTACACCATCTCTCGAAACTAAATTAAATGGATCAGATATCGATCTTTTTGATCGATCATTTATTGTAGTTTTATGTGAAAATATTTTCGAAACATTTTCCCGATCATCACCATTATTATCGATTGAATCTTTAGATCGTGTACGAATTAAATGTGCTTTAAATTTTGATCCATCATGATCATCATCATCATCATGATCATCGGGATTCGTTTGATTTGATTTCGATTGAAACTATAAAAATTCGGAAAAAAAAGAATTATATCACGAAAGAAAACATCATCAACAACTTACATGTTTCGTTGTTGTTGTTGTTGTCGTAGGTTGTGAATCGATTTGATCATCATCATCGATTGTCGTTGAATTTGATATTGTTTTCTTTTTCAACGAAGGAAATCGTCTTCTTCGTTTATCAAAATGATCTTTTAGATTTTGCATTTCGCTAAAACACATTTGTAATTTATCTTGCATACTAAATTCAATATCACCATCATTATTTTGATTACCGGATTGTTGTTGATCCAGGCCTGCCGTTGTCACATCATCATTAGTGGTAGTTTTAATATTATTATTATTATCGTCAATTAGGTTAGTTGTTTTTAATTCAATTTCTTCCTGATAAAATGATGATGGAAATGATGGATAATTTGAATTCGGTATTGTATGACGATGTTGTTTTTCTTTTTTATCAGGATTCATTTTATTTATTCTATGTCCTTGATTATCTTCGATTAGAATATCGTCGTTTCCGATTCTGTTAACAAAAAAACAAAACAAAATTCTTGATAAAATCTATGATGACCGATGAAAACAAAACCGACAAAAAAATGATGATTCGTTGTTTCTGATTTCTGATCCATCCATCCATCCATCCATACCTGAGTGTAAAATGTTTATTTTATTTTTCCAACAAACAGGCTTGCCTATCGAAAATTGTTGAAACAAACAAACAAAAAATATTCAGCAGGTGCTTTAAATTTCAACCATAGTTATGTGTATGTATGTGCCACACATTCTTTCATCAATTAATCCATTACATTTGTTCGCCCGTAATGTAATGTAATGTTTTTGATTTTAAGTTGAAATTTTTTTTTTGTTTGCACGTTTTTCAATTTTTATCATTTTCAAATGATGTCAATATCAACATCGACAATGTCGATATTATTGACTCTTTCATTCATTCATTTTTCCATTATTGGAACACATTCGACACAGACACGTGATAATTATTTTGTTTGTTTGTTTGTTATCATCTGTGGTCATCCAAGATGGTTTGATGGAACATTTTCATTTCATTTCAATGGCTCCATAATATGCATGAACTCTGACTCTGTACACAAGAATACAAGGTGAACAGGTGGTGAACATCCGCGAATTCCCCGAAAAAAAAATGTTTGTTTGCTTGTTTGTTGTTGGCATCTATGGATCATAATTTCTTTTATTTAAAATGGGGAAAAAAATCAATTATTTAAACTAAATTGAAACATTTGATGAATTGTTTATTATTGAATTGATTGATTGATTTCCGATTGATTTTTCAAATCAATCATAATCATATGACCTGATTGATTTTAATTACACACTCTCTCTCACACACACATTTCCAATTATGTTTGGAAAACATCAAAAAATGAAATTGATCATTGAATCGATCGATTTTTTTTCCTGCTATAATGATATTTTCCATCATCATTGACATTATGGAAAAAATTTGATAATCGATGAATCAGTTATCAGTTATTGCATGGTGGGAAGAATGAAGAAAGAGAGAGGGGGAAAAATGGAATTATGATAATAATGTTTTAATAACATTATCGACATCTGCGCCGCCATCAAATAGACATCGATTGATTGATAAATTTTTTTTCGTTAAGCATAAACGACGATGAAATTTGCGACTCAAAAATGAACAAAAATTCAAGGACAATACAGAAAATCAGGATTTTTGATTTCTGTTGATGTTTCTGCTTTTTTTATATGGCTTTTTGGATATACAAAGCGAATAACAGAACGAATCGATAACAAGAAATGAAGAAAAAACAAATTTGAGGAAATTTATTTTATTTATTTTTTCATTGAAATACGTCATATTGATGGTCACATATCGATATATCTGTATTTTTTCATTGTACGAGGTACATATGAGATATACAAAAAAAAATACACNAAAAAATCAATTATTTAAACTAAATTGAAACAATTGATGAATTGTTTATTATTGATTGATTTCCGATTGATTTTTCAAATCAATCATAATCATATGACCTGATTGATTTTAATTACACACTCTCTTACACACACACACAGCCAATTATGTTTGGAAAACATCAGAAATTGAATTGATCATTGAATTGATCGATTTTTCCTGCTGTAATGATATCTTCCACCATCATCATTGACATCATGAAAAAAATTTGATAATCGATGAATCAGTTATCAGTTATTGCATGGTGGAAAGAATGGAGAAAGAGAGAGAGGGGGAAAAATGGAATTATGATAATAATATTTTAATAACGTTATCGACATCTGCGCCACCATCAAATAGACATCGATTGATTGATAAATATTTTTTCGTTAAGCATAAACGACGATGAAATTTGCGACTCGAAAATGAACAACAAAAATTCAAGGACAATATACTGAAAATCAGGATTTTTGATTTCTGTTTTTTTTATATGGCTTTTTGGATATACAAAAGCGAATAACAGAACGAATCGATATCAAGAAGAAGAAAAACTTTTGAGGAAATTTATTTTTTTTTCCATTGAAATACGTCATATTGATGGTCACATATCGATATATCTGTATTTCATTGTACGAGGTACATATGAGATATACAAAAAAAAATACACACACGAACACGTTGGATGATCATACGAGAGAAAAAAAAAGAACACCATCCTCACCATCATTACCATTAACATCCAATCTGATGATGCGCTAAATTGTTGTTTTTTCTGACCATAGGGGTGGTGGTAATTAGATTAGATTAAATCCGATTGATTTTATTCCAATTCTATAGTGTAATTGGAATTTTGATTTTTTGGATTGGCAATATCACTTATCATTCTGATTTTTTTCACACATACATACACACACACACAAGAAATATAAATAAATATCTCATTCTAAATGAATCGTTTTATTAAAAAAAATAATTTATTCAAATATTTTGATTATTTTCATCCGATTAGATTGGCAACATCGTCAACAACTATATTACAAAGACGACCAAATTTATCACGTAAATCACAACCATTTTCATTTTATTTGTCTATTTTGACTTTCAATGACCAATTTTTAATGTTTTTTATTTTATTTTTGGCAAATTAGATCCAGCATTATGGTATGAAGATTATCCAATATCATTGATTGGTACAAGACAATCACCGATTAATATACGTAAAGAAAAATGTATTGCAAATAATCAAAAATTAGAATTACCACCATTAAAAATTGAATATCCGGAATTATTTAATGGTTTACGTATACGTAATCCAAAAGATGATACATATTTTGGTTGGCGTGTTGATATACCATATGATTTTGGTGATCAGGCTAGTATGTTTGTTTGATTGATTATAGTATGTGTATTATTTTTGTTGTAAAACTAAAACATCTTTGAATTTTTAATAGCCATTACAGGTGGACCATTAAATCATCATTATAAATTAATACAATTTCATGCACATTGGGGTAAAGATTGTCATTGTGGTTCTGAACATATTATCGATGGTAAACATTATTCAGCTGAAGTAATTATTTAATGATTGAATGAATGTTTTTACAAATTAAAAATTACAATTATTTTTTGTTATATAATCCTTAATCAAGTTACATTTTGTACATTGGAATTCGGATCTTTATTCATCGGCACGTAAAGCAGCTGTATCAAAAGATGGTCTAACTGTTATAGCTGTTTTTCTTCAAGTATCTGATGATGCTAAACATTTATCATCATTACAGAATATTTGTGATGAAATACCAAATATTCGTTATAAAGGATTAATGAAAGAAATGGAAAAATCAATGAATATTTTAGAAATGATACCAAAAAATCGTTCATATTTTACCTATCTAGGTTCATTAACAACACCACCATTATGGGAAACAGTTACATGGATTATATTTGAACAACCAATTTATTGTACAAATGAACAATTAGATCGATTTCGTCAAATATCTTATTATCAAAAAGAAAATCAACATCAACAAAATGAACGTTCATTAGATGAAATTTATAATGGTGGTTCAAATGTACAAGAAAATTTTAGACCAGTACAACCATTGAATGGTCGTCAAATTATTTATGTACGAAATAATAATAATAATAATAATCGTTAGGATAACCGTATTAATTATTTAATAAATTGTTTTTTTTATTCAAATAATGATTGATTGATTGATTGATTGTTTTAAATGAGGACAATGATAAGAGATGTTCAATTTTTTTGTTTGTTTTTGTTTTTTGTTACATAACTAAACAATTATTTCGATTTGATTTTTTAAAATTTTGTTTTTCATTTGGTATCACTATACAACGTACAGCTTCTTCAAATATTTGTTTTAGGCCACGTTGTGTTAATGCTGAACATTCTAAATATTTAATTGCTTTAATTTTGGATGCCATTTTTTGTCCTTGTTCACGACGTATTGGACATTGACCATATTGTGCTAATTGTGATAATGTTTCACGATCATCACGAAGATCAATTTTTGTACCGACTAGTATTATAGGAACATCATTACAATGGTGTCGTATTTCTGGTACCCATTTTACAGCAACATTTTCTAACTATAATTTAACAAAAAAAAAATTCAAATTTATAAATGTAAAACTTGTCATTATGAATAACATACCGAAGGTGGCGAAACAACCGAAAAACAAACTAAAAATATATCAGTCTATCACACAAGATGAACAGAGAAAAAATTTGAATTTGAAACAGAAATAAAAAAATTTAGTATTACCTGTGGATATGATAATGGTCGTAAACGATCATAATCTTCTTGTCCGGCTGTATCCCATAAACCTAATGAAACTGTTTCACCATTACATGTAATTAATGATGAATAATTATCGAATCTTTTTATTTTAAAATAATCGAAGAAAATTTCAATTAAATTCAATCAGAATCAGAAATTGAAAATTGAAAAAAAACTTACACAGTGGGAACATATTCTCCGGGAAATGAATCTGTCTATCTCGATATTGAGACAAAAAAAAAACACCGATCAATCAATTGAATGAATTTTTTCATTATCAAAATAATAATTACCGTAAATGAAATAAGCATACAGGTTTTTCCAACTGTACCATCACCAACAACAACACATTTAACAGCACGTGTAGCACGTCGTATTTCTTTTCCTTGTAAATCCATTTTAAAAAAAAAACAGAAAAAAATTTCTTTAAAAAAATGATAATATAATAAAATGGCGAGTATTCAGTTTGGCTTTTTTTTGGTATCAAAAATTTGATGATGATTATGATGAGTATTGTTAACTAGATTTGACAGTTTCAATATATTGTTTAATTAATCTTTATCACATGATGATGATGAAATTGGACAATTTGGTTTCGCGAAAATAGAATTGATGATTGAATAATCGAATGATTGGCAATCATGACATAAGCAATTGAATCGATTTGATTGTCGTCGTTGTCGATGAATGGTTAAGGCCAATCAAAATAAGAAATGTGATGAAGTTCTTGATTCTCGTAAATATATACAAAAAATAAACAAACAGGCCATATGGATTTGTCGTCGTTAATAGTTTTTTTTTGTTGAGCTTATGAGAATATAAGAAGAGTGGATAATTGATTTTTCAATTTATAAAAAAACATGTGCATAATTTCGCCAGCAGTAATAATTAACAACAAAACAGATGAATCCAAATTACAAACAAAAAAAAAAACCAGAAAATATTGAATTCCAAGAAATAGTATCCAATTTGGGCGTGCACACATCCATGACCATGAGTAGCCATTTTGGATCGCCATCTATGGATTGTGAAAATATTATTCGTTTTTACGCGAAATAAAAATCCGAATCGCATTATCAATTATCATCAATAGATGGCGGATATTGAATAGCGAATTCATCGAATTAAAGGAACGGAAGAAATCATATTGGCCATCAACCGCTAGCCAGCAATTCGTTTGAAAAAAAGAAATATTCTTCGAATATAAATTGAATTCTAATGAATGTGTGAGAAGCTTTATTTATTGATCATCATCATCATAAATGAAATAAGATTAAATCAAATCATAAATGACCAAAATGATGTGTCCCTTGTTGAAATTGAATTTATCATTATTCAATAGTTCCTACAAAGAATGTTTTTCATTTTGTTTCGTGAATGTTGTTGTTGCTGTTGTTGAATCGTCATCATGATCATTTCAATTTCGAATTCGGAAACTCAAAAAAATTCTAATTCTACACACTTAATAGATTTCGTTCGAAATAGACATCATGTGATCACATTTTGAAAAAAAGTGAATTTTCAATTTTCATTTTTTTTCAATTCTTTTTTATTTTGAACTTTTTTTCCACTTTTTTTGGTTAACAATGGGAAACCCGAAAGAAAGAATCATATTATATAACAAATTAGCCTGTCGAGAAATCGATAACGATGATGATTGTGCTGGTCGGTCGCAAAAAAAAAGTTTTTTTTTTCATCATTGAACAACTGAACTGAACCAAAATTGAATTGAATTTTTCTTCTTCTTTTTTGTTCTGGCTGGTTATCCAAGAAAAAAAACCATAGACAAAACATTCGTTTGTCAAAACTAAAAACAAAAAAGTTTTGAAATTGTTTTTTATTTTTTGTTTTGTTTTGTTTTGAAATTTTTTTGTTTTGTTTCTAGTTCAATTCGTTCGAATTAATTTTGATTAATTGATATCTTTCTATACACTAATAATACTTAAATGATCAGTTCGAGTTGAAATAGAACAAGGACACTCACTCACTCATTTCCCTTTGGAAAATTCGAACACAATGATTCTTTTGTTTGTTCATCATCATCATTTTTTTCTGATTGATCGGAAATTGAAAGAATATAACGGGAACTACAACAACAACAACAACGACCACTCATTATTATCATGGATCATCATCATCATCATCAAACGAAAACAACAGTAAAAAACGGAAATGAATGGCATATATGCAGATTTAATCAGAAAAACCAGATGCGTTTGTATATTTGCAAGATCATCAAGAAAAAAATCAAGCTTCAACAACGAAGAAAAAAAAAATCCATTATTCATATTTGGGTCGTTAAAGAAAGAAAGAGAAAAACAATGTTTATTTATACAAAAAATTCATATAAAAAGATTCATATAGCCGAAAAAAAAGAAATATTGATTCCCAATTCCAATGATGATGATGATGATGACATACGTAATTTTTTCTTCTCTAAACAAATTAATATAACATCAATTGGTAACAAAGGCAATGTATTCATATTCATGAATTTCTAATATATTGACTGAAGAATAATTTTCTTTACTTTTTCTTTCATTATATTTTTAGATGTTTGAATTGAATTGAATCGAATGAATTTGGATCAATTTCTATTTTGTTTGTGAAAACATAATGAATTTTCGAAAGGAATGATTTGAAAACTGAAACCAACAAAAAAAATCGTTAACTAAATCAACCTATCAATGCTGATCAACATTAATGAAATTGTTGATGATAATAAAAGACAAGAATCTATTCTATCTTATCGACCAATCTTATTAAAATAGGAAATATGAAGCAACTTCATATTCATTATCTCTTTCTTTCTTCTTTGTTTTTTTTTTGATTCAACCATCCAAGAATATAATCAAATCATAGAATCCTGTATACCTCTATACTTTTTCATTATCATTATTATTTGAGAAACTAAGTATCGTTTTTTTTTGTTTTCTCAATTTTTTTCCATTTAGATTCACTCATGTTTTCCTTTGGATCATGGAAAATGTTCATCACTGATATTGTTGATTCAATTAATCCAATAACAACAACAACAATATACACATTACATCATCATATTTTCGTTTTTGTTTCCTGGAAACAAAACGAAAAACGAATGAATTTTCTCTTATATATAGACATTATATCCAGATTATTGTTATTATTTACACAACAGAATTGGACAAATGTTATTTGCTTTGTTGTTGTTGTTGATGATATATTTTTTTTTTGTTCAACAATATCCGGATTTGAATTCTGTTTTCAATTGATATCTGTTTTTGAAAGTCAGCAAACAACAACAACAAGAATTGTTGAAAAAGTTTTTTCCATTCTCTTTTCTATTTGTCTTGCTTCAATTGGAAATTTTTTTTGTTTTTGTTTTTTTTTTAATTAAATAATTGAATTCAATTGGCCAATACACCCCCATATTATTTGGCACGATTGGCTGATTTTATTTCACTCTTTCTTTTTGTTTGAAATAAAATCCATTAACCATGGTTGCAGCAAATTGAATTCAATCCATATGGTCATTTTTGTTTGTTTTCGGTTGTTCGTTATTTTCGGTTGTCAAACCCAAAAAGACAACAACAACAACAACAAAAATGTCACAACTAACTTGGCTATATTAACACTATTTAGAGGACTTGAACTTTTTTTTTCAAAGCAAAAACTGAATTTGACAGCTTTTTTTTCGTTTTAATCATCATCAGACATCCAGTATCAATCGTTGAAATGTTTTTTTCACTTCTTGACACACCACACACACCAACACACATTTACAGATTCACGATGATGATGATATCTTATATGACAGATGATAAGAAGAAGAAGAAGAAGAAGGAGAAAAAACATTATATAACAGTTTGTCTTGACATTTTTCTTCTTCATCGTCTTTTTCACGAAGATAAACATTCATCAATCCTATTTGAATGTTGCCGACATTCGTCATTCGTCGACGGCCAAAAAAATTTTATTTAGATCAGTCAGGGAAATCATTCACACACACACACAACACACTCTAAATATTGACAATTCAATTCTTCTTTTTCGGAGAAAAAATTAGTCAATTTAGTCCGTTGATTCTTCTTCGTAGTCGTTCACACACAAACACACCAACACAATTTGATCTTTCATTGGTCATTGTCCTTGAATTTTTTTCCCAAGTTTCGGTTAGCTAAATAATCATTATTCTTTCTTTGAAAAAAATGAAATTTTTATTCAAATATTGACATACATCCACACACAAAAAAACACTTGACTTTTTTTTCTGGAAATGGTCTGTGTCTGTCTATGTTATGTAAAAAGAAGTCGTCCAAAAACAGATAGAGAAAGAAAAAGAAAATTATGCAAACACATTTTCAATGTTAATGTTTTTTTCTTGTTTCTTGTTTCGTTTATCACCTGTTCAATAATTGAAATTCTTCGAAAAATTTTTTAAAAATCAAAAATCTTTTTTCATTTTGACCGCTGTCCATCCCTCACTTTGGTTGATTTGTTGGTGATGGCCACACAACAAAAAACATCCTGACCATGGATTATCAATACTGATGATGATGATTATTCTCGCTGGACATTTGCTTTTTCAAAACTTCGAAAAAATCCTTATGATTATGGTCTTCATCATCATTATGATAATCATAATGATGACCATAATCCCATCAACAAAAAAAAACGAGAAGACCACCATATGGATAATGATAATAATTTGTATCAGAAATAAAAAAAAAACTTTTCATTTTTGCCGGCTCAAAATAAATTAAAAGGCGAGAAACTTTTCTCTGATCAGAGATTAATTTTTTTCTATAATCCGAATAAAAAAGAATCCAACCAACCGACCAACCAAACAAGATTTATGTTGTTTTTGTTTAGCCTTTCATCTATGTGCTGAATCGAAGATGCTTAAACCGAAGAAAAACTTGAATAAATTTTCAAAAAGAAAAACCGGCCGGCCCTACAT